CAACAAACGTAAGATTAGTGTCACGGGTCGTATCATTTGACTGCTGCACTCATCTATAAAAATAAAAGGCATGATTGCAAGAGAAAATAAGGGCGAAGGGAGACCCTTTAGAATAGAAAGCTTCAATATCTTTATAAAACAAAACAATTTATATGCTGATATCCATAGTGGTCGAACTACCAAAAAAATAGGTATAAAAACATATATATTGGTAAAGCTTTAAAAAAAAGGAAATTGAGAAAAAAGTAGTAAACCCAAACACACTATGGTAAAATAAGAATAGTAAAAACTTTGAATAATTTTAAATTGAGAAGACACAACAAAAATTCACTGTTTAGCTTTTTTTAGCAAGTAGTCTTCACCTATAGTTCTCTAAACTAACACTCTACGCTTAAGCTAGCTAAAATTTAATAGAAAACCTCTAGTTTCATCTTTAACCAAAATATAAAATTTTTATACACCATTCTATTTATACTAATGAGATAAAAAGTGGAATAACAAGTAGTACTAGCATTGACACCACAATTGGAAATTTGAGTTTTATGTATTTGTCAATACTCAATCATCGTATGAAACCAAAACCAAATAATACTATAGTAACCAACCTTCTTATAAACAAATATAGCATAAGCAACAACAACAATTCATAATTTTTAATAATCGAGCCCACCAACCCAACCTCAATAAAAAAACTAATAGTTGGTGGGAAAGACGCTACATAACAAAAGCCACAAAAGCAAACAATATTAAAAACCACGATGTATTAATGGATCAATCAAAATACAAAACATTACGTATTCCTTCTAAATATGAAATAAACCATATTAGTAATAAAAGAAATCCAGATGATAGACCATGACTCAATCCAAACAATACCATGGCTGAATACCCAGCCCAGGGTAGCCATATGGGCTAAACTTAAAAACACCAATCAACGCTTTCCATCTAGTTCAAGCAGCGAAGAAAAAAAACACAACACACAAAACAAAACAATTATAAACACGTAGCTTGTATCATAAAACTAAAAGGAAGACGCTCGATATGTTCCTATCACCCCCAACTTTATCACATAACCTCCAAAACAAACAGACACAAGGGTAAGCCTCAGCGTGAATAATGGGTAGCGATGTATAAAATGGGGCTAGCGGTATCTTCGTTGTAAACAACAATGGCAAAATAATAAAAACCCCAACAGAATAAAATAAATCCAAACAATAGCTTGAATTCGAAAAAAAAATCCACACACTGTAGAAAAATAAATAAAAAACCATAGAAGTGGCACACCAGAAAAAGCAGAATAGCCTATTAAGTATCAATCTGCTATAAAACGCTCAGAGTATAGTGAATCCAAATATAAAAATAGCAAAACCCAAATTATGGATGCCTCATAAAAAGCCAACATTTGTTTGTTATAAACCTCAAACAACCTTATAAACAACTGAAAAAATCAATGTTTTCGCTATTGTGTTTGTTTTTAGGAATATAGGAATTAAACAAAAAAAAACACAACGACTAAAAAAAACAGGCATCACCCCACAGTATCAACACAAAAAACCCCAAAGTACCTTTCACACCCGTTTGAGAGCATAAAATGGGTTTTATTTTACTTAGTAGGAGGCTTCACACTAAAAAACAAAGTCCAAAGCCTAGGGTGACAGTATAGAACCTAAATCGCCTAAAACCACACTCGACTAACAATCACCAAGTCTAACGCTACCTCTAGAGTCATAATTAACAACAAAGATACAAAAGCAGGATTTTTTGCTTTGGGGTTTTTTATGATACAAAAAATTAGACGAAAATATTAAAACTTTCTAAAATAATCAAAAGATTTATAAATTTTCCACAAACAACTAGTAGTAAACACAAACAACAACTAAAAAACAAATATATTTAAAGCAACTATTACTATAAACCATCAAATATAAATAATCCCTAGCCTTAATAAACAACAAAGAAGAGCACAACAATAAATTAGTAAACAAGCAGTATACCAAGCTGGGATTGAAACTCAAAATCAAACAGTAACCAATACAACAACCACCATTCCACCTATCTTGCTTTTAATGGAGTGTAGGATAGCATAAAACGGAAGAAAATACCACTCAGGCTTTATTTTTGTTAGGGTTGAATGAACATTTGGACCTATACAGTTTTATTTACACCTTGTAAATCATGGATTATAGCAAACCAACAACATTGTAAGGAGAAACACCCTCAACTACACAAACACATCCTTACGTGTATATAGTTTATGAAAAAATAGAATCAGAGTATCTGTCGCTTCTTTTGAAGGAATCTCTGAAACCAACCCTATGCAAAGTGACTATGCGCAACAAAATCAAAAATATAATAACAAAACCAAAAACAACATGAATCACAAACTTCCGACTTATAATACTACTACCAAAATCATAGGATCCCAACAAATATACATGCAACGTTGGTCATATATAAGGAATCGATAAAAAGATACAACTTTTTACAATACTAGCTCAGTAAGAATTTTGATGTCAAGGAAGCAAGCAACCTAAAAATGCTTCAGCCACTATATAAATATACAGCACAAGCCCTAGTATTCACATTAAGGAATTCTTTCTATATATCCTATAGTAATTCCTACGATCCATATCAATAAATAAACAAACAAAGAGCAACCTAGCACCTCCCAGGTCTAAAAAACGCAAAAACTCAAGAGACAAGCCATCTATTATAGGACCGGGTTCCCCAACACCCTGCCAAGCCCAAACATAGACCCTACAAGTTTTACATACTCGACAGAACAAACCACACCAATTACTAGCTGAATAACCATGGCCACTCCTGCCATGGATCCGCTACGTTAAAACAAATTTAAATTACCACTTGTCGGCATATCAACACGCGGTGTATTTACAGAATACAACAAATCGATTTATCACCACTCAAATAAAACAAAAATTGTATTTTCTACATGAAAATAGACATAATATACAATATACTAAGATAAGAAAACAACCAATATCAATACTACAATAAAATGGCAACAGAAAATGTAATAAGCTTTAAATTTATTATTTTTAAGAAAACAGAAGATAGTAAGTTCAAATCCCAACGATAATGAAAGACCAACCCAATACTACGAACACAATCATAAAAATATTTTAATGAATATATGAATAGATCCATTCTCATTAAACCATGTATTCTACTTTTACAAAATATTTTCCTGCCATAAGAAGCCATCACACCTCAAAAAACACCTTTAATCGAACAAACCAACTAACAAACCCTCAACCACACATCCAAACGACATTAGTCAACAACCAAATCCTCTAAAAACAAGTTTATTAGCCTAAACATGGAAATATCTAAAATAACCATAAAATTTTTTAATCAAACCTCATCAAATACCTAGATTTACCAACCACACCAAGCAAAAATAGATGAACAGAATATCAAAACCTCAATATCAACCCCAACAAGCCCACAATAAAAAATAAAATGTTGTGACACGACATGATGAAAAAATACAAATGCTTAGAAAAACAAACATCCATAAATGGTAAAACACACAACCTAAACACAATAAAAAAGAAACAATAAAGCTCCCATAAGCTCTTACAACAATAAAAATTTATATATTTTGTCCTACTGCTCCGCTACTCATAAGGTCATCAACCCTGATAAAGAGGCCACACTTAGCAATGCCGTGGCACAAAAATAGAACCAACCCCAGGGTTGGTTTGTCCAACAAAAAAATCAAACATCAAGAGATGTTTTTTCTTGTTGAAAGTGCTACCAACTTCTTTAAATCAGAAAAACCGATTGCACAAAACCAGTAACAAAATCGTAATAAAACAAGAAATTACAATAATATCACTAGCCACAATTAATTTATTAAATAGCCAACCATAACAACACACAAACCACACACCAGCCGCAACTAATGTCGAAGAGTGACCAAAGTACTAACTGGTGTTGGTGCACGCATCGCCTCCAATAGTTACGCAACAAAGGGAAAAGCAGCTCTCTTTGTTAGCACAATAACCACAATAGATGCACACAAAACCCAACCACTAAATCTTTTGCACACAAAACCATAGCCAACCAAAAAAAAACAATTTTCCCAACACGAAAACCAACATAGTACCTAAGCCAGCACGTAATCTATCTGAGTTTGAATAATAAAGAATTAACAAATAACTCTCCACACCCAGATACTTCCACATCAACAAAGAAAATAAAAACCAGTGTCTTATCACCAGACCACCCATAACAAACAAAAAAACAACAATTAAGTATCAAAAGTCTGATCGAATAAAAAAATAGTAATCACAAAAAAAAGACTTGAGGTTCCACAAAAAATTAACATCAATAAACACATAATACTATAAACCCTAATCACCCATTTTACCTCCAGCACATCAAACAAAAAACTAAACACATCCAGAGAAAACAACTAGCCATCGTAATAGGAAACACTAAATAGTACAATAATCACATACACCACGGAAAAAATAAAAAAAGGTCTTTGATAGAGAAACAACCCTCAAGTTATATCCGAAATATAGTCCTAACTATTAGTTTATCAAAACACTAAAATACACTGTTTTAATATAAGACACTTAAAATCTCCCCATTTAATCTGGCATTAATGCTAATAAATATTGTGGTTTAAGCACAACGCCTTGAGTCTTGAATGAAAATGAAAATGTCTTTTGTATCTATCCCCTTTGTTCTTAAGAAGCTCTGGTGAGCATCAGTTTAAATCCTCAAACTGGTTGGAACTAAAGTGTTTGAGGCAATTAACGACATTTACTGAAGCAGCCTTAGTCTATTCCATAACAACTTTTTGTTTTAAAGCAATACATGCCTAACCATCTCCCAACACTCCATTTACAAATGACTACGCACGAATTTCTCTCTTTCGAGACAATTAATAAAATCATTTGGCTGAATTACATATAAATCTTTATCTTTTAACTCAAATTTTCTCGGCGCATCCCATATTCTCATGTGAAAACAAATTTGCTTTTCAGCAACACTTACATTTATGTCAAATTTGCATCAATATTCCTGTAGAGTATCTGATGATAAGTCGTCAATAACCACCCCGAAATCTTTTTGAACTCTCATATCTGAAGGGACGTTGTTTGACATGTTATCATGAAATATCCTCATATACTCCAAAATGAGTATATTTTTGGATCTTTCTCCTGTCAGCTTAAATTTATCTTCAGTAAGGCAAGGTCATAGATTGCTCAGTTTCGTACTTGCATATATTCAGTTATATAGAAGATATTACTTACTACTTAAGTCTGGGCTTAATCAACTTGTTTTCCTTAGAATCCAATAAATATGTGGACGTTTTTCATTAAAGTTGAACTATTTTGTTATAAAAGGGATACTTTTGAAAATATAGCTGGCGTAATTGATTAATATTATATGCATACCAAAGTTATATTCCGAATAAATATCAAAACAAGTATTATTTGTTGATAAACAGTCAAAATTAAGCATTAAGTTGTTCTCTAATGAGCGCATCTTTTTTAAAAGCAAAAATATTTTAAAACTAGTTATCAATGATAGATCTATTTTACGATATCAAATTCATATGAATGATATCCAAAAATCTTTATCTTCTACAATTATGGAGATTTTAAGTAATTTTGAACTGAATAAAAAGCCAGTAAACCTTTGCAAAATCTTTATTTAGGCATTGCTCTGCGCCTAGTGCTATAAAAAGAAGTTAAATAACGTTAGAGTTTACGAGCTCTTTCAGACTATTTGGGATGATCGTAAAAAAAATATTGCTAAGCAGTATCTCAACGGTTATTTAATTTTTTAATTTTTGATTAAAGGTTAACGAAACAGGATAAACACAGCTCATATATTTGAGTAACTGGCAGTTTCGAAAGCCAACTCTCTTACGAAAATTATTATGTCATTGATTGCTATAGAAAATATAAGTTTGCTTAATCAGCAATCCTAACACAGAATGTGATATGGAAATGTCTGACATCTGTCCCGTGAACCAAGTGTACTCATGGCAGTGCGGCGTAAAGATAACCGTGTCAAGCTTACACGCTTCATTGTCATGGCTCGACACCCGCTTGTAGTATTGAGAAAAAACCGTTGCAAGGTTGGAGTCGTCCACATCGGATGAGAATAACATTTGAGAAAGCAAGGCCATGTGAAATTAATTGGAAGCGTCAGCTTTGCACATATAATTTAAGAATATTCAACTACCAGTTCTTCATAATCTTAAACGAAATAGGGTGAACGCTAGAGTGAATCACTAAATTAGCTACAATGTAACATGAATAATTTCAGCATATTATTTATCTAACTAAATATAAAATATAATATTTTTTCTAAGTTTAGCTAGTATCTAGGTTCTCAATTGAGTAAAGGAATTTAAGCGGAGTATGCAACTTTCTTTCATATTTGAATCCAGCAGAATACGATTTTTCCAATAATTATGGAGGAGTTGAATCGAGAGGATAGTAAGTGATAGCTGCAAATTAATCATGTATGTTGTAAAAAATATTTCTGCTACACTGATTTCTTTTCTTATTTAGGTACATCGTAAACATTTTATTATTCAAATACTTGTCTATGGCTTTATATGAAATTACGCTTTTTCCATTTTTTCGAAAACTCTATATTATATATTACTATTTATTATCTAGATTTAATTGTGTGGTTATACTTGACTAATGAGAAGGACTATTTGGGTTTACGAATCAAAAGAGATTTAGCTCGTGAGTTAGAGTAAAATGCCAGAACGGACACCCATTAAATCATAATCATCGCCCCACTAAATATCATTCTTGCGGATGCTGCTAGTAAACATTAGTTCGTCAACAATAAACTATCTGATAGTGGATAACAATGAATATATGGAATACATATTAGTAACTTAGTTCTTTACATGGTAAATTGTGTTTAAATACATTTGAATTCCTTGCTTATAAATATGCAGATTTCATAATGAAATGGCAATGCCAACAATCATAATAAATTCGCACAGACCTCCTCCCTTGTTTCGGATGAAGACGGACTGAGCTTTCGTCCATCATATAATGGACAACACCAGATCTGGAGCTCATTTTTATAAAAGCTACAATATATTTCATCTTTCTCTTTTTATATTTTTAGTTAAAGTTGTTAAATGTGGCTAGTCACTATAGAGAAAAACCAGTGTTACTCAGCGGTGTTAGCTATATTTTACTTAAATTAAGCCATAAAGAGCTTTAATGGATGTTTATGGTAATTGATTTTGTTAAAAATGTATTATCATCCACGAACCTCTAGAAGATAGCTTGCATCTGCAGCATACGGTAGCAATTCTAGTTAATCTATGTGTAGAATAGAAAGGGCAAACATGAACAGAGTATATCAAGACTTGTATATCGAGCACACTTTATTTCAAGATAGAAAAGCATGTGCATCTAGGTTCAAAATAA